TGCAATAATGTACAAGGACGTGGCATTATATAATCACACTTCATTGATGACAGTCTCACTACTGACATATAATATGTGGTTTTTCTACCATCAAAGCACCCAACTATACAAAGTTCTTTTCAACTTTCCCTCGCTGTATTTGCTCTCTCTCTCAATCTCATAGTCCTATCTACATTAGGGTACAACTTACCACCAACTTTGGGCGGCAATTACCAATAACTTGGCTCCGTGGCCATTTTTTGGGTCAAACAGGAATGTACCACAGGCCTCACTCTTCCTCGGGATCACGATCAATTTGCTGATCCTCGTTCTGACTTGTACAGAAACGTGCTTCATACCATATTTCCGACAACGTTCTAAAGTCATAAACTTTTTTCATTTCGCTCGCTGCTACGGAAAAAATCCTCTCTAATTTCTCCTCAACCGCTTAGTACCACGGCGAAATTTAGCGGTTAGTTCCGGCCAACTTGAGGTCGTTTATCGATAGAACCGTCTGTCAATTTTTCACCGTTCTTATTGGTTTTCTTTTCGTCTCCACTCACTATAACGCAAGAGCATTCATCTTTTGGAGACACCAGTGACGTTTTGCATTTTCTATGCACCTACACCGTATATCAAGCGTCACATGTACATATCGTCAGTTGATCGGTAGCGGACAACGCATGCGACAGCCGGCTTCGTCATGTAATCCATCCTTCACCACTGTTGCGCGTTCGGCAACACGTCTAAGTTTTTTCAAACTAAACCGACCCCCAGGCGGCCGGGACATCGACAGCAGTTTTCTGCGTTCGAAACATCAGCGTTCAATATGTCTGCGATTCACGCAAAGTGAAGAGTTTTGCACCGTTTTTCATTGACCAACGAACCCAGAGATCCACGCTCAAAGTATCACTCGTATTATTTTCTTTCATCGATAGACTTTATGGAATAAAACCAATAATGATCGTCTCTGCTGAGAAAGAACTCGATCGACGACGACACGATGGCGTATCCAATAATGTGATCAGGACAAGACAGGGCATTACTCTGCTTGGACGGCGGTAGGTGACTGACGAACGACTTCTTGGCAACCACTATTCTCACACTGTCTTTAAAGTGAAAGGGTACAAAATCATGAAACCGATAGGTAAATGTTTAACGATGTGAAAGTGTCATGGACACAGAGTTCGAGAATCCAACCGTCACTGTTGCATACGCTTATTATTATAGCGTTTTATTATTATTATTAATACCGTTCATCGGTATCACGCTGTCGCTGACCTTAAACAACTGGAAAGGCGTGATGTACGTAAACCTATGGATTCAGCAGTTAACGGCAGTGTGATTTTGTGCGTTTGAGTAATCGTTCCAGTTGTCAGTGCCGCAAGACAGCTAATTGCCAGCCCGTGTTTACAAATTGTGCTCTACCGTCTTCTTCTTACAGTTAGTAGATTGCTTCTCAGGTATAAATCTTGGGCGAAATAGAGGCCATTGAATCACCGTGTATGCTCTGAGATTTTCGAGCTTTCACGTCCGCGGTTTCATTGCATTTATCAATTCATTTTCGTACATCCCTCGAACCGTCTTTATAAAAATGCCACCAGATCTTCGGCCTGACTTCTGATCAACTGTTAACTTATCACTCATTTGAGTTACGCATCTGCGTCCACCTTCGGGACAGGAAATGTGGAGTCTTTCTGCGTGCTTGTCCTCTTAACTTCTGCCTGTTTATCGATCGCTCGCAGAAATGTTCGTTTGTTGTCTGTTTGAAATCAGAGGCAAACGTCCGTTTTCTTGGTGGATCGTCGCGAACCTGCCGTAACTCAGTGATCGGCTGAAAATTTGCAGGGGCTACAGATTAATGTTCTCGAAGCCTATGGTCGCGTGGTAAAACCAGCGGGAGCGGTGCAGCCGACAGCTCCAGAAACGTGCGCTGTCTGACAATGCTGCAGAACTGATGAGTGCGAGAATGCGCGAGTGAAACCAAAACTCCGCGATACCTGGTGCCTCCCGCAGGTACTAGCACTGTCCATCAGCAGCAATCGATACTACGTTATAAACGTATAGCGCAACCT